GTGTATAATAGTGTGTAAACTGGCATGACAACAGATCCTCTCCCTCTACAGGACTCCGTCACCCTCTGCTCAACATAATCCATATTCTCCAACTCAGCTAATATCAGACACTGTTAAAATCGACAAAGCTTCAAGTCCGTTCCCCTCACCATTTCCCAATACAAGACCACAATCCAATATAGTGGGAAGGGAATTGTTTTTTGACACACTGGTGACCTGCATTGCTACAATGTTAGCTACACATGTATCATCATGTTGAAATACAATATTTCCAATATCTGTGTTACAAGATTTGAAAGGCATTGTGAAGGTTAGGTCTAGAGGTTCAGGTATGAAAGAGTAATAATAATTTATATTTTCTGAAACTTGATTTCGGTGAAATATATTTCTATGTTATATAAGCTTTGATATGTGAATCTCGTTATCTACATTGTTTACTTCATTTGTTACATTTATTTGACTTGTTTTATGTACTTCATTAGTTTGTTGTATTGTTTTGAGGCATTTAATTATAATTATGAGTGATATATTTTACCATAATTTTAATTAGTTTGTATCTTTGTGTGTAGACTTAAAAAATGCCAAACATTCCCTTGATCATGATATGGATGTTGATTTTAAATCATTATTAATACCACACTTATTGGTAAGCTTCTATTTTATTAATTAAAAACAGAACCTTATTTGTTATGATTGAGCTTTTATGCAATGGCACCATTACTGAGGTCATAGGTCGGCTGCCAAATCAAGGGCAAAAATTCCCTGCCAAGGTCAGACAAGGGCATTTTATTTTATTTCGTGATGCACCTAGATTATAAATCAGGTCTGGTGCTCAACCTTTGAATGCAGAATCATAACAAATATGGTATCACTGTAGATTGTAGATACAAAGCTTTGTAGAAGCATAATATTATATATCACACATATATTAACATATCAACAGAGGTCCAAACCTTTTGTGTGGAGTATATTACGTAATGAATATGGCATCACTGTAAATGGTTGAAAAAGATGTCCAATGACATGTAACATTATATACATGTATCAATAAATAACATTGATAATAAATAAAGGTTAAAACTTCTTGTGTGGAGTATATTACATAATGAATAAAAGATTCAAATCTATGCTAATGACCACCAGTTATGATCTTCCCAATCATTTAAAAATCATTATCAATTTATTTCATAATTCCAAGCCCCGGCCTCATCATGCACTAACAAAATTGCACATAAGCAGCTCGTTACGCTGTAGAAAATGAAAAGGAAAATTGTGAAGATGTGGAAAAGCGAAATTGCGCGTACAACATTTCTCCCGTAATTGGAAGGAAGTGATGCATGTAGCCGCGGATGGGCGACAAGGGGAGACTTAATCATCAACAAACGACGACGAGGCATCCAGATTCATCATCAAGCACCAATTCCACGGGAGGCTCTCCGCCGTGCATGAGAGATCACTGATGATTCGCCGAGATGAAATTTTCAGTCAGGTCTCTTCCACAACAACCCCGTGTGCAAAGGGTGGATGAGCGGTTCTTCACAGTTGGGCTAAAACAACTCAACCATCTTTACTTCAATGTTAGAACAGTACTGCACAAACCATTAACAAGCATTATAAACAGTCTATAGTTCAGTCTGCACTCATACATAGCTGGTGTGTTACGCCGAAAGGCGGTTATACCAGCTATACAGATACAGATACAGACAGATACATAGTTTCAGACATACCTTGTGAATACTGTAAAATTTTTAAGGGGACTTGATATTGTGATAGGAGAGGAAAGTTTGGCATGTACTAAGTATATTCAATACTTTACAGTTGGGCTGAAACAATTCAACCATCTGTACCTCAATTAGAACTGCACAAACCATTAACAAACACAACAGTCTCTGCACTCAAGAGTAGTCTCAGGGATATCTTGTGAAAACTGTAAATTCATCTGCATTGATAAGAACTTAATATTGTGATAAGGAGGGGAAAGTATGGCATATTCATTTTACTTTACAGTTGGGCTAAAACAACTCAGCCATCTGTACCTCAATTAGAACTGCACAAACCACTAACAAGCATAACTTACAGTCTACTTCAGTCTGCACTCAGAGTAGTCACAGTCATATCTTGTGAACACTGTTAATTCTTTTACATATTTTGTACTTTAATAGGGACTTATATTTTACTTTACAGTTGGGCTAAAACAACTTTACTTCAATTAGACTTGCACAAACTATTAACAAGCATAACAGTTTAGTTCTGTCTGTACTCAGAGTAGATTCAGACATACCTGGTGAACACTGTAAATTCATTCAAATAAACAGATTCTTTTTACACAACCACAAGGTTTATTCAGCCGACGTTTGGGTGGCCATATAAAGAAATTCTCTTTATTCAGTGACTTACCAACCTGATGAAACTATTCATTTACTTTTATTGGAGCTTAATTTTGTGGTAGACGGGGAAAGGTTGATTCCACTGTGCTTTAAGCTAAGTTCCATAGTTAACTTACACTTGCTGTTAGTAAATACATATTATTAATATATTAATTTTTTTCTAGTGTCGCAGTGGATAGATGATAGCAAAAAGATTTTATGCTGTCTGAATGACATCATCAGGTTTCTTGATTATTTACATATAGTAGCAATAGGCCCAGTGCATTATTTTAAAAGGGTAGAGGTGCACATTTAATACATGCAATCATGATTTCGAAAAGCTACAAGTCCCCCAAAAAACTTTCTAATTTCATGGAAAATTTTTAGAATTACAATGTAACTTGTGATTCTAAGTGTTCAAAATTATCCCGACAGCAACAAGTCCTTCTGTGTAGAACACCCAGTAAATCATATATGTACTTAAAAGCTGTGGCACCTCAAACTGACAAACAAAATATGCATTAATAATTATTACATTATGCAATCAGCTCTAGGCAAGGAAGCCATCCTTTAGTATTTTTATGACAGTTAATTTGATGCAGGCTGCGAGACTTAATAGCTCCACAATGATGAAATAATTGCAAACTCCACATGATGAATCACCCTTCACACCTGTTTATCTGTCGTTATCAGAACTCCTGTAATTTTCGTGAGGTCGTTTAAAGCTGATTTAACGAAGCTCGGCGCCATTCCTCATGTCACCCGTACTAACATGTAATAATGCATGAAAATGATTTTGTGCCTGACTGTTTCCCTCACGTTCCATTGCTCACCACCCACACGATTCGCCATCATTAATTCCCCATGTAGAGATGAGCTCCTGTGACGAATAGCATTAACAACTTGAACATATACTGTAGAATATGAAATATGTGCAGTGGTTTTAAGTTTACAGTTGAACTTTGTTAGCCTCCCTCGCAGTTTTGTGGGGGGGTCGGCGTTATTTTTTCTCTGAGCGACGCGAGTAATATGCGGCCGCAAGGGACGATTTGCTGCCGAGGGAGTTTTTGCCACGGAGAGAAGGTTTCGCGCTCCTTGTTAGAACTTTGTAGTCATCACACTTGTTTGTACCTGCATACCTGCACTGGTACAGGTGACACTGAAGATTACCTGCAGTAGACAAATTTCACCTGAACCACTCAGAATTTTGAGGTATGGTTCACACAGGTTAGGTGCAGGTACACATCAGAAATACCTGCTCAGCTGCAATTGTACCTGCACTAACCTGTATGTGCAGGTGGAATTTCAAGCCTTGCCCTTTATGATGCATTAGACTGTATAGCCTTGTGTAACACTACTAAATTTATTGTACTTCTTTCAAGAGCAAAGTAAAGAAGCCAAACTGTTGGCACAAGACTCAACTGCTCAAACGTAAAGGAAATTACAGTATGAAACTTCACCCAGATGAATGTGTGTGAAATACTTTTAAAAATTACCCAGTTCCAGCAGTCTAGGCCAGACTACAGTTATCTGTAGTAGATGAAATGTTATGTTCTGCTAGATGAAGATGTGTGAAATCATTTTGTATGCAGTTAGAGCTAGGCAGTTATTACCAGACAGCTGTAGCAATTTGAGGCAACCTGCAAAACTTGATAACAAGATCTCACAGGTAATTCCATGTCATTATGTTTATCTATAAGCAGAAA